ACTTCCACATGCTTACAGTAAAATAATCATTGTTATATATTCATTAAATTTAATAGTCAATTGAAAAAAGAACTTTGGAATTGATTGTGTGACATGGGAGACACTGGCACAGGACCACTCAGCATGGCATGCCCACATCAGAGAAGGTGCTGTCCTCTGTGAGCAAAGCAGAATGGAAGCAGCTCAAAAGAAATGTGAGATGTGCAAATTTAAAGAATCCACCCCAATATTCACCTGAACTATTCATGCCCGACCTGTGGTAGGACATTCTGAGCTCGTATTGGTCTGATCAGTCACAAGCGGACACACTGAAACTTGACTCTAGCATAGTGATGTCATTTGGGTCTTCTCTGAGAACGAAGGACAACAACCAATCACCTCCCTGGACTTGACAGGACATCACTGTGCTTTGCAAAAGACTTATACTCTAATAAGCATGACAAGTAGAGAATGATTTCCTTGTCCAAGCCTAGGCCTTGTGCCATACTGGCTTTCTTGAAACTTTAGTGTGACCTTGAACTGGATTTCCTACTTGCATTTTCAATCTCACTAACAATTTATTGTTAAAAGTTGTTTGTTTTTTTCTTTATGAAATGTTGTATGGTTAATTCTATTAAGTCAATAAATTTAAAAATTTAAAAAAAATTGTTGTTAAGTGTTTTGTGCCCTGTTTGGTTTGTACTTCTTGCTTGTCACTCCTGTAATTGGCCCTCCTGATGCACAATAAAAGATTTTTTTTTAATTTTATTTTTAATTTATGGAATAAAATAAGCATTTGCATAACATAGTATAATTTTTAAGTGATTGCAAATGAGACTGTACATCTATTATGTACAACTTGCTATTCCTTTTAAATATATAATAAAGTTGTCATGTAGATTTCTTTTCTTTTTTTTCATGCCCCCCACCCTAGAAATGGCTACCATTAGACAAAAATATGGATATGTATGTAAAATCATTCTATACCTACTTCTATTTATCAGTTTTCTCTGGATGCAGATAATGTTTTTACTCATATGTCCTTTGAAGTTAATTTGGGTATTTATAATAGTCAAAATTACTTATTCACTCAGTTATTCTTAAAAAAAAACTACTTTTACAAGATACAATGTTCTCTTAGTTCTGTTCATTTTGCTCTGCATTATTTCATGCAAGTCTATCCATGTTTTTCTAAGACGATCAACCTCATCATTTCTTAAAGCACAGTAGTATTCTATCATAATCATATACCACAACCTGTTCAGCCATTCCCCGATTAGCAGGCATTCCTATAATTTCCAGTTCTTTGCCACCACAAAGAGAGCTGCCATAAAATATTTTACAACATTATTTTGTCACATAAAGATTTAACAATTCAGACTTTCTCATGCTGACCTGAACCCACTGGCTCTGTGCTCTCCCAAGACCATAGCATTTATTATGGTAGACTATCTGTCACAGCCCAAAAGGGATGCTTACATTCTTGTAAGACAAAGGAAAGACAAGCAAAAAGATGGTCTTTAAAATTAGAATATACTTGAAAAAGAGGAAGTTATTATTAAGACTTTGAAAATTACTTAAGAAGAAGATAGTGTTTCCCATCCTGGGAAAACATGGTGTGATGAAAAGGGACATTAAGAGACATTGTCAATAGTAGTCAGGACATGTGGGTTTCATTCCTCTCTACATCATTTACTAACTGGGTGATGTCAAGCAAATCACTTAACCTCTCTAAAGCTCAGTTACTTGTTCCTTACCTGTGCCTTACCAGTACCATACCACTTCTGGGCCATTTCCAAACCATGTCTATACATGTACCCTTGCTTCCCCTCTCCCAACCAACTTTCCAACTCTAACCTCCCTTTATGTATTTTGTCTTCCCCTTTTAGAATGTAAGCTTCTTGAGGGCAGGGGCTGTCTTACTTCCTTAGGCAGCAAGTCTGGCACATCCTAAGCATTCATTCTGTGCACCCACAATTACTTTTTAAATAGGTCCCCCATTATCTTCCATATTGTAATTATTGTTTGCATCTTTAGAATTTCATTCTTGAGAGCTTCTGATCCTTTTTCAGCTGATGACATCTGCAAAACTTTAGTTCTACGGCAACCTGCCAATGTCCTTTGGGCTGCATGCCCAATTATTCCCAGCCTTCTTTTCCTTTACAACTATGCATTTGAAAATGGGGTGGTAATTTGTTTCTATGGTTCTCACATTTTACACTTCAGTAACCAGTTTCTTGTTATTTAATTAGGTACAGAATAGCTACTCTTGTTACTCCCTCCACCTTTTAGAACATGAAATTATCACTTAGGCAAGAAAAGAATTTATTAATGCTATTCTGCTTTTAATAGGAGGAATGTTCTAGTAGATATCATGAGATTTGAAATCTCCAATCACTACTATATCCTCTTTCTGTACCGTCTGATTCCTAAACTCCACATCTATTTCTTACTCTGTACAGTTGGTCTATAGCAGTAGAGTCAAACTCAAATGAAAAAAAAATCCCTGTTGCATATTGACTTAGAAAACTACAAAGTAACATTATCCGTGCTGTACTGTATTTGTAAGTATTTTGTTTGACATTTCCCAACGACATTTTAATTTTGTTCTCTCAGAAGTGTGTGACACCGATGATCTATGATATGCTCCTTCAACGATATTGATTCTGTTTCTCTCTTTACCCAAGTGCTCTCCACAGTGTTTTTCTTTTCTAGTTTCTAGATTTCATGGCACAGATTTTAAATATACAATGCTACTTGCACTCTTTATCTATTCTACTTACTTTGAATAACATACTTTTTCAAAATCATATTCCAGTAAGTCCTATCTTAGCAAGCCATAGTGATGCATATGAAATAAAATTTGTCTTCTTGTATTCCTTGCTTAGAGTTTGTTCTTTATCCTTTGTGTACACATGTCTAAGAGCTTTTTTGCTGTCTTTTCTTGGATACCATCTCTTCTAAATTAACAGATATCTCTACTGATTTTCTTCTCCATATGAAGAATTGCTGATTTTCTAGTCGTACATATGCATAGGCAGTTGTTTTTCCTTCTTCCTTTTCCTTTCAAGTTAAAGCCTTCTTGATTAAATTATGTGCATATGTATACACAAATATATTTTGTCCTGTCTTGTTTTCAGGCAACATCTTCCAAACTAGCTATTCACATCCCAAATCTACCACTGTCTTCTGAAATCCCTATTTCATAAAGCAATATGATTACCAAATTATTTGAATTTTGTTTGTTATTGGGAAATAGTTTAGAGATTTAGTTTCATTCCTATGAATACATTTCCTCACCAAGGCAGAGTGTAACCACTCCATGCCTTAGCATATGTTTTCATTAGTTCTTTTGGCCTATCCCCTCAAGGACTGAATTTAATACAGGTGCAGAAAAATTAAAACAATGCTGACCTCCTAGATATATTTCATGTTTGTCAAAGCTTACTATTGCACTGATGTTTTCCATTAGTATCTCTAATGTAGGAATATCATTTCCAAGCCCATTTAATCTACCAAAACTTAGAATTATCTTTTTTTTTTTCACAGAATCTTAGCATGAGCAGAAGCTTAGAGATCACCTAGTCCACTTTCTTTATTCTATTTATTTACTTTGTGGATGAGCAGAGATTTAGAACCTCAGTCTTCTGTCTTCCAATCTAATGTTTTATTTTGTTTTTTTTTTCCCCCACCAACTGATAACTTTTCTTAAAAAGTAAATCAGGGAAAAGAAACCATATGACAAAAATATTTAGAGCAATATTTTTTTTTCAGTAACAAAGAAGTGGAACCTAAGGAGGTGCCCATCAATTTGAGAATGGCTAAATAAATTACGATATATGAATACAATAGAATAATATTGTGCTATAAAAACACAGTGAAAAGGATGGTTTCAGAGAAAGTTTGGAAGATCTGTCAGAAGTTACACAAAGTGAAGCAAGAAAAGAGAGAAGAATGATTTTTTTAAAAAAATAAAATAACTACATTGCGGGAGAGATAAATGGATCTGAAAGACTGATGAATGACATGGCCAATTATGATTCCAGAAGGCTGATGATGAAGCATGTTACCCACCTCCTAATAGAAGGATGATGAAATCAGCACGAAGAATGAGTCATATGTTTGGACATGGCCAATGTGGGAATTTATTTTGCTTGACTATGCATATTTATTACAAGGGTTTTATTGTTTTTTTCAATGCAAGGAGGGAGGTAGCAAGGACAGAAAATAGATTATTGTTAACTAAAAAAATGCTTTGAAAAGGTAATCAAAGGCAAAAAATTATTTTCCAAGAAGGCATACATGCAATAAATAAAATGCTGCATTTAGAGTCAAAAGCTCTGTGTTTGAATCCTGATTCTATCACTATTACCTGTGTGACCTTGAACAAAACATTTAACTTCCCTGGTCCTTGGTTTGCTCATCTGTAAAATGAGGTATTTGGACTAGATAACTTCTACAGTTTTAACCCTATGAAAAAATTAACTCCTCTAATGGCATGTAAAATGCTCAATTTCCAAAAATTCAATTTATATGACTTCTCATGAACTCACCTATCTTAAGGAACACTACTCATTTTCCTCATAATTGGAAGAGCTGTAATTTATCTTGGGACTAAATATCTTTCCAAATCTGTAATAAGCTGATGACATTTCATGAAAATATAAGATTCTGTTCCTCTGGCATTCTTCCTGAGGTAAAAAAAGAAAAGCTCAAAATTTAGTGAAATAATGTGAGCCTCGTACATCAGTTCTTACTTTATCAGACCTTGGTAAGCTATGGTCGATACATGATATTGACTAATCCAGAGCAGGAATTATTAAACTTCGACTAATCCTACCACTAACGTAATATTTAAATATTATTTCTAGTAATTAACATTTGGTTATAATTGGAGGGGAAAAGGTCATTTCAGAGAAATACATGCATGAGGCTCAGGATTATACAGAATAATAATTCCTTACAATCTCCTGTAAATGAGCTTGCACAGCCTGGTAATTACAGGAAAGGCACTGACTGACCTTTATGTGCACACATCAAGCAGCGGTAGTAACAGGCACAGAGCTATGAGGCCAAGCAGCTTGACTGTTAATCACCAACTCCCTCCATTTGGATTTACACTCCTATTTCTGATCCCAGTCCAGCTGTTGTGAAGAATAGGTCAGCTGTTTGAGGGACCCTCCTTTAGGTCGAAGGCACAAATCATTGCATTTTGGATGTCCCTCCCTCCCTGCAGTGGTCCTGGTGGGAGTCCTCTCTCTGAAAGAAAAAAAAAACTTCAGAAGATGTCGATCAGGGCTCACAGGATACCCAAGACATTAGAGGTACCCACCAACCAACCGAGTGGTGCAAGCTGAGCTAATTCTTTCTCTACTTCGGTCTCACGTATACTTAATCACCTGCTTATCACTCTAGGCTTTGCCCCTCGCTAGCCCCAATTCAGACCATATTATGATTACTGGTTTTTGAACTTGCTTCTAATTTCAACAATGGTTCTTTTAGTTCCACAACTCATCTTTATCTTGGTTTGTTTAGATATTGATTCTGTCCCATACTTTCACAAGCCCTTTTTGTCTGTGATTATCTCCACTATCTGAACTAGCGAATGTTCAATCAATCAATCAATCAAGAAATCAATAAGCATTTATGAAGCTTACTATTTGTCAGGCGTTTTGCTGAGCACTGGGATACAAACAAAAGCAAAAACATACAACCATTCCCTATCCCCAAAGGGCTCACATTTCAATGGGAATAAATGATATGTTAATTTTTAAAAGTTCATATAAAATACAAAAAGGAGCTAGAGTAGTCCTTACTACCCATTGCCACTTCCAGGTTACTTCCATCACTCTGAGACACCTCCATTCAGCCACTAAAGGGATTTTCCTAAAGCACAGGTCTGACCAGGTTCCTGCCCTTTACCCCTTACTCAATAAACTCCAGAGTTTCCCTATCACCTCCAGGATGAAATACAAAATCCTCTGCTTGGTGCTCAAAGCCCTTCATAATCTAACTCCCACCTACCTTTCCAGTCTTTTTGTAGCTTATTCCCCACCATATAATCTTTAATCCAGTGACACTGGTCTTGATGTTCAAAAAGACCCCCTATCTCTCTTTGCTGATCATTTTCTCAGGCTGTCCCTTATGCCTAGAATTCTCTCTCCTCATCTCTCCCTAATGCCTTTCCCTGGCTTCCTTTAAATCCCACTAAAATCTTTACAGAAAGACTTTCTCACCAAATCTCTCCAATATTAATGTATTATATTAATAATATATTATATAATGTTACATATAATTATATAAATAATAATATATAATATAATCTATAATAATATTCAATATTGCCAATAATTTTCCAACTTATCCTGCATATCAACTATCCTTGTTTATTTTTTTATCTCCCCCAATTAGAGTGTGTGCTCTTTGAGGACAGAGACTGCCTTTTGCCTCTTTTTTGTGTCCTCAGTGCTTAGCACATCCAGTACATGCGGAAGGCTGGACTTTAATCCAGACCATCTTTATTTTCTAAGGCCAGTGCACTATCCATTATACAACATTTCCTATTGCTGTCTTTGTCACAAAATCTAAACCTGAATTTAAAATAATTATTCACATCTCTTTCTCTGTTTTCTAGAAATCATTTTATTTTGTGAAACTTGCTAGCTTTTTCTTGAAATTTGAAACATCATAGAAATATAAAGCTTTTCTGACCCTGACTAATTGACAATAAATTTTACCCCTTGATTCTTATCAGTCAAAGCTAGATTTATTTTAGCCAAAAGATACCTGGCATGTGATAATAAAGTGCCTGACTTTTCATTGATTATCTTTTTTATTTATGAGATAGCTACTGACATTTATTCAGTCAAAGTGTTAGTGCAACTGAATTAAAACTTTGCTGCGTCTGAACCAGTGCATTTAAGTGTATTATGCTGCATATTGCACTAGGATTGTATTATAAAAATGTTAACTTAAAATATGTTCATGAGGTAGTAACTTTTTTTTAATGTAATGATATCCTTCATCCACTGAAGTCAGTCAGTCAACATTTATTAAGCATCTACTATGTGCCAGGCACCGTGCTAAGGGCTGGGAGTATAAAGAAAGGCAAATGACAGTCCTTGCCTCAAAGACAATAGAACAGGGGAAGACAATACTTTAAAAGAAGCAGTAAAACTAGGAGGGGAGGAGGGTACTTGGCAGAAGTATGATGAAACGTGGCAGCCCAGTGGGAAATTATGAGATGGCTGTCCTGGGCACCCTCCTTAAATGGAGGTTCTCTGAGGAGTTCTCTGATGTCTACCCTCCACCTCTTTAATCAGAAGGAGGGAGAGGCCATAATGGCAGCGGGTTGAATCTGATTCCTCATCATGATGTAGAAGTAGCAAGCTTTGTCAAATTCAGTCAATCAACAAGCATTTACTAAGTCCCTACTATGTGCCATACATGAATAAATGAATGGATGAAATATTTATTAGGCACTTACTGTTTGTTGTTGTTTGTTCTTCATCAGTGGTATCACAGGGTGATGTCTTGACTTATGTGTGAATTAGATTTAAGTGAGGCACAGTTGCACAAAGTCATCAGCCTCACTATCTCTTCCAGAGTCATCAAAGTCCAGTGGCAAGACAAAAGTCAAGACAACTGGTGATAGCCCAGGATGCAATGGATGACCTTGACATCTTTGATGTCTGACCAAGCCCTAAGCACCCCCAGTGCCTGCTTCAGCTACCTTCATGGCTGTTGGAACCAAACTTTAGGGGTACAGAGAGAAAAGACATTCCTTGCCCTTAAGAAGCTCAAATTCTAATGAAAGAGACAATAGACATGGAAGTTTTGAGTTATAAGTTAAATGGGAAAGTTTCATGATCCTTGGTGTATAAACAGCAAAGCAGATATTAATGTCTTTTCTTTACTGTCATTATTTAATGTCATTATTCCCTAGGCTCTTCAATTCAAGGTCCTGAGCTATCGCCATTAGGATCTAAAGGGAGATGGTGGTCAAAGCATTGGTCAAGATGTGACTTGCTTGGCACATGATTTCTCCTGTCTCTTTTGGTGTATCAGCCTTGCAGCTTCGGTGAGGCTGGCTTGCCTACCCTGTTTGTGGCAAATGGTTGGCTGTTGGTGGGGATGGTTGGCTCTTTCACCACAGGAGTTGCTTCCCCAAAAGATAGCTGTGAAGGCTGGGCGGAAAGCAGGAATTGAGGTCTGAAAGGTACTGCCACTCCTGTGCCCCTCTGCCTGTTGGTGGTAGTTGGTCAGTAGTTGTTGCTGGTGGTGATAAGGAAGGTGGACCCCTTCTCGACAAAGATTTCTCCCCTCAATGATGGCTGCGAGGACTGGGATAGGAGCAGGTCTAGTGGTTTGGAGGAGCTCTGCTATTCTCAAGGCTCCTGAGTTCAGGGTTTTTAGGTGTCCCCAGCAGGTCTGAAGGGAGATGATGGTGACACATGGTGACAGGCGCAGGAGATATAGATATGCATTATGGAACAATCCCTGATCTCAAGAAGTTTGCATTCTATCAATGTCTCAACATAGAAGGCTTTATACATGTTTTCCCCCAATAAAAGCAAGGTCCTTGAGGTCAAGGATTTTTTTTTAACTTTTCTGTTTGTATCCCTAGCATCCAGAGTTCCAGACACAAAAGTCTTCAATAAATGCTTATTGAATTGAATACGACCCAGACACACACATACTTCATACCTGGTGCCCAAAGACACTCCTTGTCACGATTGGAGATGCTCATCTTAAGGTGGACCATGAAATGATTTTTTTTTTTCATTTTTGGCCACATCTACAAATAAAGACTTTCTCTTAAGGTGTGGAAGAGTGATAATCTGCACTGGTGAAGGAAACAACCACATGAAGGATTTCACAAATTTTTGAAGTTGAAGTGGCATATCCTTCCTATTTATCCTGTATGTAGTTTGCTTTGTATATATTTGTTTGTGTATTGTCTCCCCCACTGGATTGCAAGCTCCTTGAGGGGCAATGACTGTCTTATGCCTCTTTTTGTATTCCCAGAGTTTAGCATGGTACCTTACACATAGTAGACACTTAATAAATATTTATGATCAATTATCATTGTTCACAGTGAACATCCTAAATCAGCTTAAATTTAGTGTCAGCATATAAAGGAAACATTTAAATGTGACTAAACGTTCAAATCAGGAAAGCAAAGGACAACACAGATTTAAAGTGACTATTATGATAGAGCACATGAATAACCATGAAAAACAATCCTGAAAGAAATGATATGCATTAGAGGGAGAAACACAATGGCTTCAGTTCCATTCTATCCTCTACCTTGGGCAATAACCATCATCATTATCAAGAACATAACCATTATCATCATTGTAACACCACCTATTTATACAATGCATTGTAGTTTTATAAACCTTTAAATAAGGAAGGTAGTGCCTGAATTATTATCTTGAGCCAGGTCTCCTGATTTCAAGTGCCAGGGCTCTTTGGAGTGCATTATGCTGCCTCTCTGAGTTTGCCATCTCAATAAACCAGGGTGAGCTAGACCTAAGACAGTGTCTGGAGGGCAGTAGGCCATCGCTGATCCTTGTTCACATGCCTCAACACTAAGAAAAAAGCAAAAAAATACCAGGTTATCCTCAGTACAACAGCTCTCTCGGGTAAATCCATTCCTGGCAAAATACAATATACTCCCTTTGTGCCCAACCCAATTCCCACCCCTCCCTGCCTATCTTTCATCAGCCTGTATGGCTGATTCTGACCCTTGTGAGGAGCATAACAAAATAATGAAAGGAGGAAGTTCATTTCCATATGGAGGAAATCCTTCACTGGAGGGATGAATCAAGAAGACAAGTATACTCTGAAAGGGTATGCGTGTAGTCAAGAGATATAGAGCTGAAAGAATCCTTAAGTGGCCATCTGGTCCAAACCTCTCATTTTCCAGGAGAAGCTGAGGCCACCACAGAAGAGGTGACTTGCTTAGAAGTGATAAGTAAAATCAGGGTTCAAACAGATTCTTTGGCTATGAATTCTGTGTTTTCCTCACTGCACTGTACTGCGTCAAGGACATTTCCTCAAGGAAGTGGGGAGAAATGCCAAGTTATCTGGAGTTTCCATAGTTCACAGACTGGCTAGTTATATGGTTAGTCTGTAATGATTTAATTTTAAATACATATTTAAAATTTAATTTCAAATTAGATAAGTCACATCTCTAATTTTATTGGGTCAGCTATATTCAGGATGATATCTGTAAATGGTTTAGTTTTTCTTAA